AAGAACTAAGAAGTAAAGGTGGATATACTTCACTGGTAAAAGTATATATTTAATGATCTCAAGGCTTTAGGTTCAATCCTCAGCACCCCAAAATAAACAAAGAAAGAAATCCATAAACAAAGGAAAGAGCTACTAGGTTAAGCCATAATAAAGGTATGACAATGCAAGCTTGCTGCCTTTTGCTTGGAACTCCCCTCAAACCATCTTTGCCACTCTCTCACCTGCCCAGAGCTTCTCCCTCCTGTCAGCCTTTGTAACCTTACCTGTCCTAAGATATCTATCAGCTCCTGGCTTTTTGTCTTTTTCATCTCTTTCGATCTTGTTTAAAAAGACTACTTGGGGCTGGGAGAGATGGCTCAGTGGAATAAGCACTTCCCTGGCAAGTGCAAGGGCCTGAGTTCAATCCCCGGTTCTGCCCCCCCAAAAAAAATAAAAAAATAAAAAGACTACTTGAGCATCTCCTCAAAGCCTCACAAGGCAGGGTTTCAATCTGTTTATAAATCTAAGTGACCACTTATGAGTGTATGCCATCAGGAAATCTAGAACACCTTCCTAAAATGAAATCTGATTTTCTTCATAGAGCAATCCCAGAAGTATATACCATCTTGATGTGTATATGACCACCAGTTCCACTTTTTAGTTAGGATATATACTCGGACCAAAAACAAAATTATAAATAATTTGTATTAATATTAATAATTAATATATATTCATTGTGAAAAATACAAGGCTGTGAACGTAGCTCAGTACAGAATGCTTGCCTAGCATATGTGAGGCCCAGGGTTAATTCCTAGTACCAGAGAAAATAAAAACAAAAACAAAAACAACCATTAAAGTATGTCTTCATATGAAACAGGATATATGCTATTTTATAACCTTTCCCCACTATATACAACAAAAATCTTTCTCAAATCATTTACCATTTTACATTGTGAAGTTTTAAAATCATTTATTTGATTTATTTATTTTCTTTTTTGTATTTAGTACAGGGTGTACAGGGTCTCACTACATAGATCAGACTCATAGTGAGCTTCCTGTTCTCAGCCTCCCATGCACTGGGATTACAGACTCAAGCCACCATCGCCAGTCTCAATTGCCATCTCAGCGCGCCCGGGAGAAGGGCCAGCATGGCACTTCAGGGATTAAACCCTGGTCCCAGTGTTCTGCCTAAGCTGGTGCTTTAGTCCACTGAGCTTCCCGGCTGGCCCTCTTTTATTTTTTGGGGGGAGTGAAGAGGTTGGTCCTAGGGTTCCTATTTGCTAGACAAGTGCTTTACCTCTAAATTACTCCCTAGCACCCTTATATTATATTTAAATCTTCATTCCTTTATATTATGGGGAAAATGGTCGTTGAATGCCTCCTCACATTTCTCATAAATGGCAGTGCTTTGAAAGGAACTAGGTGAACAGTTTTTAATCCTGGAAAGTATTTCCATTTTTCATTTTATTTTCTATGTTGGAGAACCCAGGACTATCTAAGCACTCTGCCCCTGAACCATATGTCAAGGCCTTAATTTTTTTTTTCTTTTAAAATTCTGAGACATAATTTAATTCTGTGGCAGAACTGCCGAGTTGTGCAGGCTAACCTCAAACTTGCAGCCCTCATGCCTCAGCCTTCCCAGTGACTGGACGGATTACAGGTACGTGCCACCATACCTGGCTAAGTGATTCCATCTTTACAGCTCCGAATTGTGTGTGGTAGGCAAGTGATCCACCGCTGAGCTCATCCCCGGCCCAATTTTGTCTACAGGTGTTATGATTTATGATAAATTCTATGCAGAGCGACTGCAAGGATGAAAGAAGCATGCCTCTCCGGCTCCTGATGGGTCCTGCAAACCCATCCTCTGCTCTAACAGTGGTTGCTAGCAGCACTGTATTTTTTGGTCCTTTCACTTACATTAGGGTTACAATTTTTTTCTCTTGCACAGCACTTAGAAGTCAGTGTTCAGAATTTCTCCACTCTCCTTTTGCCCTCTGCTTTCCTTCTTCATCTTTATATAAACTGCTCCACTGTCTTTTCCAGATCTACTTTCATTTGTGCTTTTCCACTGTTCAAGTCTTATAATGGTTCTATTATACCACTGAAATTCACCTGGCTGGTATCTTATGCCCTTAGACTCACAGAGCCCAAGTGTCAAGCAATTAATCTGAGAAACTAATCTCATTCTGAAGAACATACATGCAATCTAACTTGAACAGTTTAAAGAAAACATATAGTCTATAATAGAAATGCATTTTATAGACTAGTGGTTTTCAAGTTTCACTACAACTGAAGTCACCTGGGGGACATTAAAATTTTGCTAAAAAGACCTAGAGGGCCAGTGACATAGTTTGGTGGTCTAAGCACGTGCTGTGCAAGTACAAAGACCTGGATTCAATCTCCAGTACCACAGCAGTGCTAGCCCCAGAACCTTGGGTGTGTCGTGTCAGCCCTGAAACCACACGTGGGGGGGGGGGGGGGGGAATGCCTATAATCCCAATGCTGCGGAGGCTGAGACAGGAGGATCACTATGAATCCAAGCTGTGTAGTGAGACCCTGTACCAAATGAGTAAATCTTTTAAAAAAAGACAGATTGCAGAAATTCTGGCTCATTCAGCAAAGGGTGAGACCTGAACATCAGGATTTTTCTTAATGATTCCAATGTAGCCTATGTTTTTGAGATGAGTTAAGAGAGAGACCCTTAGTACTTCTTCTTAGATAATCTTAGAAGACCCAAGGAAGAAGAGCACAGCACACATAAGCTCAGTAATCTAATTCATTGCATGAGATAAAGGATCTAGGACAGGGCAGTAAGGGGCAAGGCATTTGCCCTCGACCACAGAATGCAGCACACCTGTGCTTCCTGATCACAGGTAGGTGCTGCTGTGTCAGGAAGGAGGCCAAGCTGCATTTCTTAGATGGCTTCGACTGCTTTTGCAACTGACACTAAAGTTATTGGAGTAACAAGGCCAAGGACCTCAGTGGTAGCTCTCTAGGTTTCAGTGTCACAAATTACTCCCAGTTCACACCTGCTTCGCTGTTCCAACAAAGGTGGGCAACCTACCCATTTCCTACACTGTTCACAGCAGATCCCTGAGGACGACTCGGAATAACCACACATACCAGGCATTTAAATAGACGGCGGGGCTGGAAGCGCAGCTGCTCACACAACACCCACCTCGCACGCACGGGGCCCAGGGTCCAGCCCGTTTTATAGGGAAAACTCAGTTAAAGTTACGTTCGTGATTAGCATATGCTTTCCGCTGATATTAATGATCTTGCCAAGATTTAGAATTCAGAGGAGAAATAACAAGAGCCAGTGCTCTGCAAACCTGCTCAGGTCTAGCCAGAATACTTGACACCTTCTCTGCTGGGGCCTGGCAGTCCCATTTCCAGACTGTCCGCAGGCACCAAAAGGTCCACACACCGGCTTGTTCTTCATGATGTGGCAGCCCGGCTGGGGAAGAAAAGCTGTCCTCCAAGCCCGACTTTTCTTAAATTACTTACTATATAAGGAAGACTGCCTCGTGGCTGCAGCCAACACAGCAGTTTTTTCTTCCCTGTTTTCTTTTTCAGTTACTGCAGACAGCCACTGAACACACACAGGTAAATATTATTGTTCTCTTGAATCTTTGAAAGGTGTTACTTTCAATTGTCTAGTTCCCCCAGAGAATACAGAAACCGCTCAGCTTCCTACGTGAAGACCAGCTTGCTGGGTACCATTTCTAGAGGACGGGTCCTGGTTGCTCTTCCACTGTATCAAATGCCAGTCAGCAGAGGAAAGGGAGGGACTCTGAAGTTTCCTAGACATTTGCTAACCAGGGAAGAAAAGGCCTTGGGGATGGAGAATGTGCTTGGATTCTGAAGTAAGCAAATTCCTACAAGGAATGTGCTATAATAGCCTAACATGGGGGCTTTTAATAGGACAAAGCTCTGCAGACTGTAAGCTTACACACAGCGAGCAGGGAAAACGAATATAAACCCTCTGGGAAAGTGGGGGCGTTTTGTATACCCCCCCACCTTTGTCTAGTTGTCATTCTCGAAATAATTTTTACAAAAACAACCTGGATTAAAGCCGAGGTGACTTGATGTTGGAAGAAGAGGGTTAAGAGTTTAGATAGGGCAGACTGCTCGGAAATAGTGTCCAATCAGAAGGCTCAGACTTGGCTGTAGGCTGTAGCTACAATACTAAAAACAAAGCATGGAATAAACCACAGACAGTTACCTTTTCCTGTCTGAGAGGGGGAAACACACACATAAGATTCGTCATGCAGTGGAGAGAAACCCGATTCTTCCAGGTTAAGCCCGGGCACCCTGGCTCAGGCAGAGGTTACTGCTTTGGCAGTCAAGGGCATCGATGCTGAGGGGCAGGCAGGACACATACATTATGCAAACAAGGGCTGGCACAGCCTCCACCTCCGCTGCCTTTCCAGCCAGCCGTCCTCTTGGCCCCCTTTCTAGGACTGAGCCAAGAGCCTCGGCTGCAGTGGGGGATCCGCGCGAGTCCTCCAGCACCTCACACCCCCGCCCCCGGACGGGAGCGCGCCGAGGCCAGGCGTGGGGGTGGGGGGCGCTGTGCCCCTTCTGCTTTTAAAGTGGCTGCACCCCCAGAATCGGCGCCCTCTGTTTCCCTCTTCCTGACATGTTTAACTCGCTCTCTGCCGGGCCCAAGGGGAGAACGAAAATGGGGGAGGAGTAGTTTGCCAAATGCTGAAGGACCTGTCCCTTGGCACTGCAGACCAAGGCAGGGGGAGGTTTAGGGCACACGGAAGGTGAAGCGGCTGCTACATTCTCCTCAAGAACTTCTCCTCAGCCATCGCGCAGGCCAGGCGACTCAGCCCTAGCTCCGCGCCCGCACGGTGGGCGAGACCGTGACCCCCCAGCAATATCCAGCTGGGCCCCCTCAAAAAGCGATCGCTGCGCGGCACCGGGAAAGCGCGCCCTCGGAACGCGAAGCGCTGTTCCCCCATCAAATGTTGCTCAGGGGGAGGGGAGAGAAGCCGCGCCGCGCTGCGCCTCACCACTTGCTGTGCGCCCCGGAAAGTCGCGTCCAGCAGCATCAGCTTCCAGGGATCCGACACGGAGCTGGGCAGCGGGATGTAGACGTAATAGGCGGCCAGCGCCACGAGGGCGGCGAGCAGGACACAGGACGACCGCATCCTCCTGGGGCGGAGCGGCTTGGCTTGGCTCGGCTGGGCTCGGCGAGGAGGCGGTGATCACACCCGCAGACCTCCGCTAAGTTTCTGCCAGCCGCAGCTGCTCCGGTGTGGGTGTCTTATAAACCCGGGAGCCAATCACAGGCGGCGCCGGGAGGAAGTGGGGGCACTGACGCGCGCCCTCCTCCATGTCCTGGTTGGAGGCCAAGCAGGCGGGGCGCAGCGCACCCTGGAGGATGCGACCGGTACTGCAGGCTGTGACTTGGGCCGCCTCCTGCAGGTCGGCCGACCGAGTCCAGTCCCCGCCAAGGGTCTCTATGCAAGTGGAGATACTGTTGAGCATGGGAATAAATTGCTCCTTCTCTAGTCCCAGAATTGCAATGTCAGTTGTAACTGATAAATGGGCAAAGAGAGAATGACAAACTCCTATAGCTCAAGCAATGATCTGTCCACAGGCTTGGTTTCCAAATTTCATTCTCCAGTGAATAAAAGAATCAGGCTTTTTGCCACAGCTCCTTAAACAAAAAGCTGATTCCAAGACAGGATGGGCAAATAAGAAGATGAGGATGCTCTGGCAGAAGATAAAGAAGTGTCAAAAAAATAAATAAAAAGCCAGCAGGAACAGCTCAAAAGGTCACAGGTGGTAGGTTGAAGGGTCTCCTTGAGATAAAGCCAGGATCCTTTCAACAGCAAAATAAGTCATCCTCATGGGTGATCATGGGATGAAATAAAAATCCAGGAGTTTACTCCAAACGAATTAAGTAAATAAGTGGAGGAAGAAGAGAGGCTGTCCTTACAAAGGAATGCCATTGTTAGCCATTGGAAATAGTAAGCAAATGCTAAAACAAGCGGGTGAAAGCTTGGCAAGAAATTCTAGTTCTCATCCAAAGATCTCTCCACAAAGCCAGGTGTGGCAGGCAGCACAGGTCTGCAATCCCCGCACTTGGGAGACTGAGGCAGGAGGATGGCAGGATCACATAGTGAGACCCCCGTCTTATCAAGAAACAAAATTCTCCACGTAGATTATTAATCACAAAGGAACAAGTAATAATTTCATAAGGGAAACACCTGATAGATACCACCTGAAATAGTTCTTTCAGTGGGGCAATAGTAGCTAGAAAATTTGATTTCAATTTTTCTTTTTTTAAAAAAAATTTTATAGCATTACCTTTTTAAATTTTTTTTATTTTTTAATATTTTTTAAAAATTTTATTTATTTATGTGGGGGGGGCAGCTCAGCCCACCAGGGGGCAGGGCTGGCTGGCATGTGGTGCTGGGGGATTGAACCGCGGTCCCTGTGCTCTGCTAAGCTTATTCTAAGTAGGTGCTTTAGACCACTGAGCCATCTCAACGCCTGAATTCAAATTTTCTGTTAAAGATAAGAGAAATGCAGTACAGAATGGGAGAGGGAAAACTTCACTAGCAGAGTTACAACCAGAAATCCAGAGAAAGCACCAGGAAGTAGTAGAATAACCCCAAACCTAGTGATGAAGGCCTTTAAATATTGGATAGTAAAATCATGCATCTTAATATAACAGTTTAAATTTCATCTAAGGCATAGAAATGAAATAACTATAACTGTGTGAAGATGATGAAATGAGGAGAAAGTTGGTTTCTTATTCAAAGTTGGAGGCAAACATTTTTAAGTGGGTTTCAGGGACATTTTAAACATAACTTTGAGATAACTTGTTTTCCATCTCTTTGCTATTTCTTTTAGTTACTATTTCTTTTAGTTACTGGGTGAGCACATAAATTGAAACAGATAGGGTTGTATATGCTGTGAGTGTGTGTACGTGAAGCTAGAAGCTAATCTTAGTGGGTAATAAGAGACAATCCCAGCAACCTTAGCCAAACTAGCTACTGGACTTAGTTAACATTATTTGTTTCCATGTGACCTGTAAAGTAATTCAAAGTTTTACTGTCTTCTCTTTGATATTTTTTCTAGAGTTTGATTGCAGAAATCTTGGAACTAATGGATTGCATAAATCTTGGAATTAATATCAAAACTGACCCCCAAACAAACAAAAACAATGTCACACACCTGACTCTGGCTTCCATTCTCAGCTATAGAGACAAGTGCTTAAACGCGTTCATGACTTGTGTCCAATACTTCATTTGTTCAACAAATATGCCTGGTCTGTACTGAGAAATAAGGGTGCCAGAGGTGGGTAGGGAGCATCTGCTCTTTAAATTTTACATGTTTGTTAGGGAATAGAGTTTACAAGGAAAGTACTGTGATATTTCTGCTCACAAATGTAATTCTTTCCATGCTTCTTATCAAAAACTGAATTGGAAGAGAAGTGAATCAAATTTTACCACAGCAGCAACATTGAACCTAACTGTTGTAACTGATTTGGTTTTCATCAAGTTTGATTTTTGAGCAGAGTTGTGGAAAGAATCAAGCTCATGAACCTAGGTGCCATTGTACTCAGGGAGGCCAAATGCCAAATGAACAAACAATAAAAGCAGATATATGTTGAGTGCTAATTATGAGGCAAATTCTGTGGGAATCATTGAATATATTAGCTCATTTAATTTCCTAACAATTTTGTGATGTACTAGTTTTATTCTGAAAACAAAGGCACTGAACTGTTAAATGCATTGCCCCAAATTGTCCAGCTGTGAGGCCTTTGTGGAATTTGAGCCTAGAGCCTTGGCCTAGTGCTCATGCACTCTAGTGTTCAACTCTAGAGTGGGAACCTGAGAAAAATAGAGAAACGTGAGGGGCCACCCTGTGGACAGCCACTGCTTTAAACTGAGGGAAGAAGGAAGCTCTGAGGAGAGGTCATTTGAGCATTTAAGTAAGGAGAGACCTCAGTGACTCAGAGAGAGCCTTGCTAACATCTAGAGGCCAAGGAGAAGACAGGAAAGGTTCTAAGGTGCTGATGACAAGGAGCAGGAAGGCAGGAACAGTGCAGGAGGGGAAAGGAATAGGTTCAGACAAAGGAGAAATTGAAAGGCATCACTTAGGACCAGTAAGCTGTGAGTTAAGAGTTCCAATATTCAGGTGCAGTGGGAAGCAGCTGGAGACGCAGAAGCAGGGAAGTAATGGGATCTGGTCTGCCTTTGTAAATGCGCAAGCTGGGTGCTATGTGGAGAAGAGAAGACCCATGGAGTGCTTCTGCAGGAGCCAGGTGAGAGATGACATGGCCGGCAGTGGCAGCTTAGCAGTGGAATGGAGACAGGAGACAAACCTAGGATAGAGATAGGAGAGATAAAACCTATTCATGAATTGTGAAGAGAGGTAAAAAGAAAAGAGTCAATAAAATTCTCTTCTTGTAAGGAAATAAGACAATATTAAAATCAAGCAATTAACTTTTCCATGTTTATGGAATTGTCTTAGATTTCCTTTTGGTATACTCTCTTCAAGTCATAGAAAAATGATGGCTTAAAAGTTATTTATTTTTACTGCTTGGAAAAATGGACTCAAATGCCATACTCTACACCATGTGAAGGGGCTTCTTATTTCAGATGGGTAGAACTTTAGTTGAATACGTCCTGAATTTTGTTGCCTCAAAGGCGTGGTGGTAGATGCTGATGTAGGTCAGATATTGTCCCATTCCTCTGCAAAAGTGTTCTCTCTAGCTGGAGACAGTCAGGCAGATGGGTAAACTGTAGAGATGGAGGACTCTGTTCTGGAAGGCTGGGGAGTTGGGTCCATTGAAAAAGGCAATGACAGAGCAGGTGTGCAGGTGGAAGGGCATAGTGCAGATTCTAGGTGAGTCCATCCTTGGCAGGCGGAAAAGCACAGAGTCCTAACAGGCAATGTGAGCAGAACACTGCAAAAGCTCAGTATGTCTGCAAGCATCCAGTGCAGGAGGCTAGGCAGAAGGATTGCCTTGAGTTCAAGGTCAGCCTGGGCTACACAGTGAACCGAAACTCAGCCTTTACTACAAAGAGAAATCCTATCTCAAAAACTAAAATTAAATAAAATAAAAAAGAATATTGGTAGAATAAGAGATTTAAGAAAGAATAATATATTTCTTTCATTTGGAATATTTAGGTTTGAGGTACCTGAGGGACATTTAAGTAATGATAGTGAGGAGGGCTGTAATTCAGGTGTTTGGACAAGATTTAAAAGCTAGAGATGCAGATATGCAAGTCCTTGTCTTATAACCAGAGCTAAGATGATGGGTGAGAGAGAAGCTAGGAATTGGGAGAACCAGGCCCCCGGGCCTTGGCAGTTACTGTTTCACAGGAGAAGGAGAATTTGACCAAAATGGCCAGGTAAGAATAGTGAAGAGTTCTATCCAAACTAGAGAAATTTAGTAGGGTAGATAATAGCGGCAAAAAAGTCACTGAGAAGGTAAACAGTAGAATTTCTTAACTTGATTTTTAAGGATGAAGGAGAGGATGGAGTCAACAGTGATTCCAAAGTTTCTGACTTGAGCAATGTCATTGACTGATGCTGGAGTTATTGATGGGAAAGCCAGTTTTGGGGTGAGAAAATGAGGTCAGTCGTGTGGTGGACTCAGGATGAAATACCTCGATGGATATGTCCAGAAGTTCATTGGATTTAAATCCAATGAGAGGTTTAAAGTTTAGCAAGAGAAGATATGTCAAAACTATGCTTAGAGAACTGTCATAATGGATAACCCAAGCAGCACACTGTTTCAAAGTCTGGTGTGAAGTATACAAACAAAGCCTGCAAAATAAACAACATTCCAGGAGCACTCATGTACTCACCCACTGATCAAATCACGAAGTCATTAACACAAAGTATATAAGAATAAAATAGAGGGATACTAAGTCGATAAGAGTTTGTAATTTACTCAGTTACATTCAGCAAATTCTCAGCAATGTCTTCTAATGGTGATGTGAACATTTCATTAAGGTCTGAGTCATTAGGGTCTGTGTTCAAGGAAAATTAGTTGGCGAATTACTGCATTAATATATTTGTTCCTAATTTGCATAATATTGTTGATGATACTTTGAAGCTTATTTTATTTTATTTTTGGTGGCTTGGAGACAGGGTTTTGCTATGTAGTCCAGGTTTTGAACTATCAGTCTTCCTGCCTTATTCTCTCAAGTGTTGGTATTACACGGCTACGCTACCACCACCAGGGAAGCTCACTCTGTGCACCCGTGTGCGTACATATGTATGC